CCAAAAAAAGGACATGTGACCAAAGTGGTTACAGCTTTCGCTAATGATATGTATGTGTACCCAACACACATCACCTTCATATTTCACAATCACGTACTTAACTAAACCTCACTTTTCTATCTTTATCACCATGGCATTTATTATAAAATGGAATTGTCGAGGCCTTATTCTCAATCTAAAGGATGTGAACGACATTGTGAATATGCTTTCGCCTGTCACAATTTGTGTCCAGGCAACTAATCTTGGTCCAAAGAAAAACACCAGTTTCTGGAGAGGAATGAAGGTTTTTTCGAAAGGGCCGCAAACAAGCCAACCGGCTGTCCAGAGGAGTCGCCATCATAGTTAAAGGCAGCATTCCTACTCAAGCCATCGCATTAAACACCGCCCTTAAGGATGTCGCAGTTAGCAACATAGCGCACGAAACCATGTCCATTTGCTCTGTTTACGTTGCCCCTCTTGAAAATGTACCTTTACAAGCATTGGAGGACTTTGTGGCTTAACTCCCAGAACCGTGTGTTTTAGCAGAGGATTTTTATTCTCACGGTACGTTAGGGGGCAGTGACGAAACAGACCAAAGCAGGAAATATACAAATGTTTCATTTTCTCGAACATCTGTTTTTAGACTCTGGTGCACCAAACACTATTTAATCAGGTTCGCGCAAGTTCAGTTACATCGATTTAGCATTTCGCTTGCCATTCGTGTGTAACCATTTTAAGTTAGAAGTTCTTGAATCTTCGTACAGTAGCATCTTTACCCCCCAATCGTGAAATTACCGTCCACATTACGCACGATCCCCTCCAAACAATGCCGCTGGCTAATCCATCTTGCGGACTGGCCCCTGCTCCAGGAGAATGCGAAGCTAGAACACATATCCTTTCCCAAGATATGAGCATCGATGTCATGAACAATACAATCACTGAGATTATAATAGCAGCCACAGAAAAAGCAATACCACAATCGTCAAATCTTGTCCGTAAAAAGCGAAATGTCTGGCGGACAAGTGTACCGAATGAAAGAGCCTACAAAATAAAACTAGGGGCAATCTTAGGAGGTACCCTACGTATAACAACCTTGTGAACATCGAACAGACTAAAGCCGAAGCATGATATATTCGGAGGCAAGCTGGGAAAAACTTCAGTACAAGACTACATACCCTCTATTGAAAGCGCTGTAACATACAAAAGAATGTGGGACCAGCTGAACCCATTCTTACAAGCCCAGACCTACAGACAACAACACAAGAACAAGCGGATATACTAGGGGAACACTTTAATGACATATGCAGCTCAGGCAACTACTCTTATACATTCATGAAACCAAAAAGTCTGCTCAGAGCACCAGAAACTGCTCTTCACAGGTTAATCACATGAAGCCTATAATTACCTCTTACATTACAGGAACTAAACATCGTACTCCCCACTTGTAAAAACACGGCAGTGGGCCACTATTCTATGCTTGCACATCTCTTTGAAGCATCAATGAAAGCTTAACTTACTTTCTTCAACATAACATGAAAATTTGGTGCAATACACAAAAAATAGACAAATTCTGTAGTGGTTTCATTTATAAAGCGGGTAAGACCCCAACCTCTGCGAGCAGCTACACACCGATCAGTCTAACCAGCTATCTGGCAAAATCGTATGAAAGCATTATGAACTGTAAGCTGTCTTTACCTTTTATTTAAGAGACTTGATTGATAATCATCAATGCCGATATAAGAAAGGCTGTTTAACAAATGATCATCTCGTTCTACTTAAGCATGAATTGCGAGGATAATTTAAATACAAGCAGTACTGTTTCTCTGTTATCTTCGACTTGGAGAAGGCTTACGGCACTAGGTGCAGATACGGAATTCTGCAAGACTTCACCAATCTAGAAACTTGTGGTAAAATGCTAAGCTGCCTATCGAATTTCATGACTGACAGAACATTTTATGTGCGTTTGGGCAGTGTGCTTTCACTTACGTTCCTTCACGAAAATGGCGTACCACACGGCTGCGTTTTCAGTGCAACATTTGTCATACTAAAAATGAATTCCACTAATCATACTACACACAGTTATGCATTACTATACGTTGACGGCCTTTTGATCGATCCCTGTGGCTCGAATCTAACAACCTTCGAGAGGCGACTCCAACATACTATAAAAAATTACCGCACTTTTTTGACATAAATGGTTTCTAAATCTCATCACAAAAAACAGCTTGTACCCTATTTACAATGAAAATATGATTACGTCCTGATACAGATCTGACGTACAGCATATCGCAGTGGCGATAAAGTATGAACACAATTTTTTAGGCGTCACAATCAATGGTAAACTCAACTTTCTGGCTCATATACCTACACTAAAAATCTAGGCAAATAAAGCCCTTATTATAATTAAGATATTGTCCCATAAGCACTGGGGTTCTTACCGACCATGCTTACTCTATGTTCATTGCTCTGTTGTACGCAGTATGTTTGACTTCGGGTGTGTTCTTTACGGCTCGGCAAGAGAGTCCTACAATCGGCGTCTTGAGCCGCTACACAATCTCGGTCGGCATTTATCTGTTGAAGCTTATACACCATCTCCAGTTCAGAGTCTATACGTGGATTGTAATGAACCTCTACTGCCTAGCGTCGAGTACATTTAACGCTCTCCTGTGTTTTAGGACTCACAGCACTGCCTCAACTTATTTGTCACGACCTCGCAACGAAATGTTATTCACGCTTACACTTTTCTAACAAGCCAAATTTTCTCAAACCGCTGATTTTAATTATTGAAGAACACTGCTGGGCATACGATGTTTCTAATGACGTTCTCAATATCGCCAGGAAACTACCGAGCCTGCCTCCACGGTCTTACTTGACTCAACTTTGTGATCTCCCACGAGCCCAATTGAAAAAAACACACACACGGCACCAGACCACATAATTTATCAATTCCGCACACTTCAATATAAATACAAAGGCTATACCGAAGTTTACACGGGTGGCTGGAAAACAAAAAACCCCGTGGGCGTCAGAATTGTGATAGAGGAAAGCAATGTCAGTATTAAAGTAGCTCAAGTGATGTCCGTTTTTCAGCGCCTAAGTTTACACTTTTGGGAAGCAGTGCAAGAAATATTCATTGGCAAATACAAAAAAGCAGTCATATACAATGATCATTAGGTTACCTGAAAGCGCTACATCTTGAATGTGACTGTGAACCGCTACTGGGTGATATCCTAAATATGATTGTTTTAAACATTGGCAGCGTGACCGTTCGTTTTTGCTGGGTGCCAAGCCATGCAGGGATGCCAGGAAACGAGAAGGCAGATGAACCAGCCTCTCTAGCAGCGCAAAAGTTCATCAAACAAATCAGTATTCCCTTCAAAGACAGCCAGCGGAGTATCCGGCTGGCTTTGCCATTACGATGGCAGCAACAGTGGGGCTCCTGCATAAATAATAAGCTGCACCTGGTGAAGCCCATAGTAGGCGAATGGAAATGTTGCCGTCATCAACAACGGTTCAATGAAGTCATTCTATGCAAACATAGTATTGGGCATACGCACCTAACACACAGCTTTTTGCTTTGAAAAGAAGACACGCCGCAATGTCCAACATGTCTATGTATTCATTAACACTCGTACATATTTTCATCACATGCCCATACATGGAAACACAAAGAAAGAAATACTCCAAATAACTAAACAGACATCACATACCTAGGCACCCGGGTTTAATTCTAGAGGATGATCCACTTGTTTCTTTGTCAAATGTTATCAATTTTTTTTGAAGACAGCGGGTTTTTACACGAACTTTGGTATTACATGCATCGTGGTGCCTATCACAAAACACCTCGGGTTTGGCGCAGCTTAGCCGAAGTTTCTCTTGCGCCATTAAATACAAAGTAACTAACCAACATTCAGATACCAGCCGTCGGTTTACTCTATGATTCCCCTTCCAGTAGGGTCACAGATGGGCAAGCTGGTAGTGGCTGCCATACGGAGCTGAACATAAGATGTTTTGAGTTGCGTGGCACTAAGGGTTCAAGGCTTTGCAAAATGCGTAGCACTACATCAGTCCATTAGTTCAAGCTTTCTCGGAAACTTGTTGGACGTTGTAGGGTATGTTACGGTTTCTTGCCGCACTGCAAAAGCTTAATGACTGCTCATTCAAAGCCTATGATCCAATATTGCTTCCTCTGTGTCTCCTTATCTCTCAGCATTGACCAGCCATGCTGTCCATATGTGCTGGCGAAAAGTGTTCATGAAAGTAATGTTTTGGGACGTCCGCAATAAAGTGTCTAGAGATGAACGCGAAAGCGAGGCATTGCTTTTTAGGGGCGAAGCTCCTTATGGCGTCACCCGATCACCCTATTATCGTTTGTAACCCCCGGTGGCACATACTCGAGAGAGAGGGCATGTACCACAGGGGATATACGTTCAGGGGCGAAGGTCTTTAAGCCGTAGGTCGTGCGTCCTCGACGTACGTAGTAGGTAGCCAGGTAGGTAGGTATGTAGTACAGATACAATCGCATGACTACAGTCGCGATGAAAAGATGCGAGATGGCACTACTTAGATTGTTCACTTAATAGACGAACGGATGGACGTATGGATATACAGACAGACGAGCAGACGGACGGATGAACAGACGCGTGGATGGACGGACGCACGGATGAGTGGACGGACGCACAGCCGGACGCATGGACGAGCGCAGGGACGGACGCACGCACGGAAGGTTGGATGCATGGTTGGACGCACAGACAGACGGACGGACGCATGAATGGACGCGCAGGCGGACGGAGGCGCGGATGGACTGCCAAACGCTTCGCCCCCCTCATCATTCACTCTGTGTTTACGCTTGGATATTTTTTATCTGCCGGGTACGTACAAATCACCCAGTCTTCAATGTAGTTCCACCTGTCTAGCACTTCTGGCAGAAATAGTCAGAAATACTACCTACCGCCCATGGGGGCAGGCTTCATTTCTGACTATTCCCTTTCATCTAGGAATGCGTTCTGCTGACCGTCAACATGAGTGAGCAGTTATGGCTGGTGCGCCGGGCCAGCCGAGAAATGTCTGCCGGACATCTCGGCGACAGGATATATTGAACTAGACCGTCAAAGCGATGTTCTGTGTCCTTCCTTTTATGCATCTATTTATCTATCGGCCCATATGAGTTGCATTTTCCTCACTCGTTTGGGAAATGTACTGCCAGATGTGCCTTCAAATGCACTTGCTCACGCTGTATTTTTTGGCGGACAGGTGTTCGCATGTGTTCGTAAGCATGTGTTCAGAGTAAGTAATTGATAATGGAAGCAACAGAAAAGTCACAGCATATACAAGAAGTGAACGTCCATCCGTCTGTCCGTCCATCCGTCCGTCTGTCTGTCTGTCTGTCTGCCTGCCTGCCTGCCTGCCTGCCTGCCTGCCTGCCTGCCTGCCTGCCGGCCGGCCTGCCTGCTGCCTGCCTGCCTGTCTGTCTGTCTGTCTGTCTGTCTGTCTGTCTGTCTGTCTGTCTGTCTGTCTGTCTGTCTGTCTGTCTGTCTGTCTGTCTGTCTGCGGTTACGGTGTGCTGGCTACACGGGAGGAATAGACTGCCCTAGACCATAAGGAGCTTCGGCCCTAATAAACTGCAGGAGCTTAGCGCGATGCGATAACACTAATTGCCCTATCTCCGCATCTTTTGATTACTGTAAATGGAGCTAATTTACAACTTGGCGTCACCTCATGGGCCTAGCATCATTAACAATTTATTTTTATCTACTTAAGAACCCCGAAACATTGCGTTTTTGGCTATGCAAAATGTACTCTGAAACCATTTTTTACTTGCACATATGAAAGTAGATACTATGGAACTCATCGACACAAGACCAGCTACGGGCTGTCAATTCAAACAGCCCGTATGTGGCTTTCAATAACTTCAAGGCAGATTACTGTGTCCCTGCCTCAATTCAAAAACTGCTTTGATCAGTACGGCTGTTCTGAGAGAAGTTCTTGCACACTATTTACTTTACATGACTTTAGATACTATAAGGTAAGCGCACCTTTTGTGACAAAGGCAACAAGAAGCGGCCTTGAGTTTTTGTCATATGAGCTGTCCTATATTAACAATGTGATGGTTTGAACGTGTTATAAATTGGAGGGTGCGTCAATTCTGTTAAAGCACCTATTACAATACAAGAATCCCAGAAACTTGCATCGACAGCTAATACTTTATTCCCTTCCCAGAAACCTCTAACAGAAGACAAGATCGCATATGGTTCCTGGAAACGTCAAATAGAACGAGACTCAACGCAAAAGAAGCCTGCAGCATCGAGTCCGCTTGCCGGCACAACAAGAACTACATCATACATTTGCTCTCTACCGGAAATATCAGCACGTATGAATGCCAATACATTCGTCTGCTTTCAAAATTACCGAATTTTCAGCACTCGGGACTTAACCCGAGCGCAGAACTGGCGGAGACTCCGTTGGAACCATTGTACGCGGAAGGAGGAGCACTGCATCGAAGCCCGTATTTTGTGGCACATCTGAGCGATTTCCTCCGGTACGTCGTGCTTTGGAGTCGCGGCGGTGTTTACTTAGACACTGACGTGATCGTGATCAGGTCTCTGGAAGGAATCAAGAATAGCCTATTCTATCAGTCGAGAACTCCAGGTGAATCTGTGGCAAATGGTATTCTCTTTTTTGACAAGCATCACCCCGTGCTCAGAGCCCTTATCAGTAAGTGCGCGCATGTGTATAGTCCCCAGGTGTGGACCTCGTGTGGTCCTACACTTGTGTCGCCACTCGCGTCTAACGCCGAATTTTCTCGCGGCATCAACATTGTGAACGAATCGGCATTTTTTTTGTTCCTTATAGAAAATGGGAGACCCTTTTCAATCATGAAAATGCAACTGATGTGCTGAGAGCAATAAATGTCAGCTACGGTGTCCACTTCTGGAACAAGCTTAGTCAAAGTAGACGTGTGGTGACAGGATCTGGCTCTGCTATGGACGTTCTCGCTAATACCCATTGCCCCGACGTGTATAAGGTAGCATCTCTTCAAGGCTACCTCTGAATAATCGCCATTCCGAAGTGCTACCGATTGTTGAGTGCGCCAAAAGAAAACCCCATCATTTTTTTGCGCAACTAATCATCACAAGTGTCCCCGCTTTATTCAGAGCTAATTCAGTGCTTTATTTAGAGCTAATCATGCAGAGCTCACATTGTTGAATCACTTTCACCAAGTCCTTGAATGTTTGCCCTTAATCTGGAATAGATATAAGTGGCGTAACCACCTAAGAACTTCCCGTTTCGAAAAGTAGGAATAATATACGTGTACCTTATACTTTGTTCCGATTGGCGGTGGGATATTTGTTCCGTATAGTGTATCTACACAGCTGGTTTGTTATATTTTGAATGACGTGAACTTATTGTACATGCAACTATTTATCCTACACTTGAAATGTGAAGCGCCTCATCAAGCGTTTGAATCGCTTTTGGTTGTTAGTTTTTTGTTAAAATTGCGTGATATCGTTGCGCGGCTCACACTGCGCAAGACAGATTGTGTGCAAGACCACCTATGCAGCTGCTCTAATTTTCCTTCCCCTCGACAAGGTGTAAATAAAGACGAATGTATGTCTTAATGTCCAAATTCTCAAGCTCACACATTTTTTCATGCTTTAATTAATATATATATATATATATCTTTATACGCCGCAAGGTTATCAGTATAAAAATAGATGCGTTTTCACCTAACAACTTGTTTATTCAGCCGACGTTTCGACGGGAGCCCCGTAATTTTCGTTATGCTTTATATATATATATATATATATATATATATATATATATATATATATATATATATATATATACATATATATATATATATATATATATATATATATATATATATATATATATATATATATATATATATATATATATATATATATATATATATATATATATATATATTGTGCAGAAGAAAACGCATCGTTGGCAAGCAACATCGCCACCGCGCTTGGGTGCTGGGTTCTGGGCTTCGCTCGCTTGATCGTCGTCGGCATCTACTTGGCCATTGCTCTGTCCCAATCGTGTTTTCATCGTAAGGCCACCGTCGCAACACACGCCAATGAACCCCTTTTCAATTGGTGGAGGGTGCTGAGATTCCCCGTCGCCTGAACCTGGGTGCTGCCATTCGCCGTCACCGTAACCTGGAGCTGCGCAACCGAACGCTACCTCCCATCATGTTCACCAACGATGCGCAACCTGGCTCTTCCACTCCATCCTCCAGCAACCCCGGCGTTCTTCGCTTGTGAGAGCCCAAGGTCTCCAGCGGAGCTGATGAGACCAATGTGAAGGGCTGGTTCATCAACTACGAACTGGTGAGCGCAAACAACAAGTGGGATGACGCGGATAAGTTGAATAACGTCATCTTTTACCTCACTGGCGTGGCCAAAATGTGATATAGCAACCACAAAAATGACATTGCGACGAGGTCCATCTTCAAAACGTCGTTTGCTGACGTTTTTGGCCGACCCGTTGTTCACAAGTCCAGAACCGAACAACGCTTGCGGACTCGCGCACAGAAGCCACCGGAATCGCTCACTAGTCACATCGAAGACAAAATGGGGGTCTTTGCAACCGTGTCAACACGGCCATGCTCGAGTCGGAGAAGATTCAGCACATCCTCAAAGGGATAGATGACGGCCTATTTCAGATGCTCCTGGCCCGTAATCCGGCCACCAATGCGGAACTTGTCACTTTATGTCAAAGTGTCGACGAGTTGAGGAAGCAGCGCGCCCTAACTCGGCCATTTTCCTCCCACGCCGACTCGCTTTCCAGCCTTACTTCTGTTCCCGATCCCTCACCAACCCTGCAAGAAATAAAGACATTGTGCGTAAAGAAGTAGCTCAGCAACTGTCGTTGATTCCCTTCACGCAGCAGCCGCCGTCCTCTTGTCTGCCCTCACCACTCCGCGACGTTATTACCGAAGAGATTGCTCAGGCTATTCCCGTCTCTGCCCACCAGCAGCCTGTGGCCATGCCTGTTCCCCATTCGTCGGCTATGCAGCCCGTGGCCGCGCCTCTTACGTATGCCCTGGTGGTACGCAGCAGACCCCGCCAGCAGCATTTGCCACCCATGGCTTTAGGTGCTCTCCCCTCCGTCCTTCTTTCGACACCTTAGGCCGCACCGCGAGTCAGCGATTCCCGGCGCACATCTGACAATCGACCGATCTGCTACGCCTGTGGTACTCCAGGACACGTGGCATGATATTGTCGCCGTCACTTCCAACCACTCCACGACGCTACTGGGCCGTTACCGTATGACCCACCGCACATGCACCTTCCTGCTCCCTATCCCTCACCGTACTATGGCTACGCTAATGTTCCCGAGTCTCAGTCACCCCAGCCCTCATCTCAGACTCACTATCCCCGCTCCCCGTCTCATCGCAGGCGATCACTGTCCTCAATGCGTCCCCGACCCGCTTCCTCCAACCGGGAAAACTGAACGCCGCAGCTCCAGAGGCAAGAACTGCACCGTCGTCGAAATGCCCAAGTCCTCGCACTTCCCCTGATAACGTCGTCGCCATATCTGTCTATGGTGTTGCTACGTTTGCCCTTGTCGACACAGGTGCTGCCGTTTCTGCTAAAGCCACCCAGCTCTGTCGCTCCCAACGCAAAGTTACCACTACGCTCTCTGGACTATCGCTTCGTACGGCTAGCGCACAACCAGTTCAACCTCTCGGCACCTGTACGGCCCGCATATTCATCTAAGGCTCTATATACGTTGTCGAGTTCATCATCCTTTCGGTGTGGTCGCATGACGTCATCCTTGGTAGGGACTTTCTGTCACATCATCATGCCATCATCGACTGCGCACGTGCTGAAGTTAAATTTTCACACCTGTGTGACGAACCTTTGCACGAAACTCTTGAGTGGTCGCCAAAACTCGTCGTGCGTGAGGACACTGAAATTCCGCCAGCCTCTCTTGCCATTGTCCCTGTTTGCTGTGACGACCATAACGATGCTACGGTAATGTTTACACCTTCTGACATTTTCATGAGCCGCAGAGCCGTTTTCTTGGCTTTCGCTACACTTGACGTCACTGCTGGCCGAAGCAGTATTTTCGTCCGCAATCCCCTTTCTGCAATATTTACGCTACTTGCCTGCGAATGTCTCGGTCGAGTGGAATACTTTGATTCTTCTTTATTCCTTAACATGCCAAACGAATCATGCAGTAGCACCTCGACAAAACTTCATGCCCTTTCCCCACTGGAATTCTCGTCGAGTAACATCTTCTCGAGTTTCATCGCTGACACCTTAAGTGCTTGAGAACGTGCCGAGCTTCTTAATCTCCTCCAGCACTTCACGAATTCTTTCGTTGTCTCTCAGCCGCAATGGCGTCACACTTCCGCAGTGCACCATTACATTGACACCGGTTTGCATCAGCCATTGCGTCAATGACCATACCGTGTCTCTGCTGCGGAACGTCACGTCAACAACGACCAGGTCAAAGTGATGCTACACCGTCGCGTTATTCAACCATCACACAGTCCTTGGGCATCTCCTGTCGTTGTAGTCCGAAAGAAGGATGGATAGATTCGATTTTGCATCGACTACCGGCGATTAAACAAGGTGACACGGAAAGACGTCTATCCGTTACCGCACATCGACCACGTCCTTGACAGCCTCCAAGAAACCAAATTCTTCTCCTGTTTGGAGTTATGATCAGGATACTGGCAGGTTCTCATGACACAAGCTGATCACCAGAAAACTGCGTTCATTACACCAGATGGCCTGTACGAATTTAACGTAATGAATGCCTTTTGGGCTTTGTAATGCTCCTGCCACGTTTGAACGACTCATGGACAACACACAGTGTGGACTGAAGTGGTCTGTGTGTCTATGCTACCTCGACGACATTGTTGTTTTCTCCCCCGATTTTCCTACACATCTGCTTCGGCTCCAACTGGTTCTGGCGTGTTTAACCAACGCTGGGCTCCAACTGAACCTTAAAAAGTGCCGCTTCGCCGCACGAGAGCTGTCCATCTTAGGACACATCGTGTCCAAGCAGTGTTCTTCCCGATCGTGCAAAACTGCGAGCAGGCACAGAGTTCTCGAAACCTACTACACTGGAAGAATTACGCAGTTTCGTAGGACTATGCTCGTACTTCCGGCACTTCGTTCGAAATTTTGCGTCAATTGTGTCAGCACTGACCAACCTCATACGCGGTGACGCTGACCTTTTATCTTGGTCTCCTGACTGCGTTCACCACGCTCCGTAGTCTGCTAACATCTCCCAATCTTCGGCATTTGGACCCAACAGCTGCAGCGGAACTTCACACAGACGCTAGCGGGGTTGGTCTTGGCGCTGTCCTCGCCCAACGCAAGCCGGGCTACTTCGAATACGTCCTCGCTTATGTGAGTCGCACGCTAACTAAAGCTGAGGCCAATTACAACGTCACTGAAAAGGAGTGCTTAGCGCTACTGTGGCCGCTTCGCAAGTTCTCCCCTTATTTGTACGGTCGCCCATTCGACCTGGTAACGGACCACCATGCACTTTGTTGGCTCGCCACATTGAAAGATCGTTCTGGCCGCCTAGTTCGGTGGGCACTGCAAATCCAGGACTACGACGTTCGCGTCATCTATCGCAGCGGACGCAAGCGTTCTGACACCAACGCCCCGTCTCGTTTGCCTTTACCTCCCGACTCGGCCTGCGGAACCATTGGTACCAACTCCGTCGCATCTCTCGACCTCGACTCCTTTGCCAGTGAACAACACAAGGACCCGTCGACCACTTCCCTCTTTGTCTGTCTCTCTGGATTGTCAACCAATGCGGTATCACGACCTCTCCGACGTCAAGCTGCTCATTTCGCCATTCGTGATCGGCTGCTACACCAACGCAACTACGTCCCTGAAGGTCGCAAGTGGCTCTTGGTTGTCCCCCGTAGCTTGCGATTACAAATATGTGCCTCCTTTCACGACGATCCTCCATGTGGCCATGCCGGAGTTTTCAGAACTTACGAACGCATTCGCCATCGCTTCTACTGGCGCGGAATGTATAATTTTGTTCGAAAATTTGTTATGGGCTGCCCTGACTGTCAACGCCGCAAATCACCGCCTTTCCACTCGTCCGGTGCCCTTCAACCGCTTCCGTGCCCTGCCAAACCTTTTGATCGGATCGAAATTGATCTCAATGGCCCTCTACCGACAACATCAGATGAAAATTGATGGATCATAGTCGCTGTGGACCATTTAACACGCTACGTTGAGACCACCACCCTTCCAAGTGCCACTGCGCGGGACGTAGCGTCCTTCGTCTTTCATCGCTTCATACTACAGCATGGTGCACCTCGAGAACTACTAAGTGACCGAGGTCGAGCCTTCCTATCAGAAGTCGTAACGGCTCTGCTTTCTGAATGTCATGTTGTTCATCGCAAGACCACGGCATACCAACCGCAGACTAATGAGCTCACGGAGAAATTTAACCGCACCCTCGGCGATATGCTCGCGATGTATGTGACATCTCATCATACTAACTGGGATCGCATTCTTCCATTCATCACGTTCGCATATAACACCGCGGCACAGTCTACCACTGGATTTTTACCTTTCTTTCTTCTTTATGGACGCGAACCATCCCACACCATCCACACTCTCCTTCCATACCGTCCTGACGCATCCGAATACCCATCTGTGTCCGAAGCTGCCCGAAATGCGGAAGAGTGCCATGAACTCGCACGCACCTTTACGTCACAAGAACAACAGCGCCAGAAAGAAAACAACGCCGACTCTTCACAGAGCCCCAGTTTTTCCCCGAGATTACTTGTAAGGCTGGCTGTTCCTTACCGAACCCCCGGCCTTCCCTCAAAACTCGTCCCGAAGTACGAGGGCCCTTACCACGTTTTGGAGCAAACCTCACCGGTGAATTTTTTCATTCAGCCACTTTACCCATCTGACGACATGCGTTGGCGTGGACGTGACATCGTCAACGTCACCCGCCATAAGCCATACCAAAACCCTCTGCCTCCAGATTTTAGGTCGCCAGGATGGCTCTTTTTCGGCGGGGGCAAATTGTGAAGAAGAAAACGCATCGTTGGCAAGCAGCATCGTCACCGCGCTTGGGTACTGGGTTCTGGGCTTCACTCGCTCACCTCGTGCTGATCGTCGCCGGCATCTGCTTCACCGTTGTTCTGTCCTGATCGTGTTTTCATCGTAGGGTCACCCCGTCACAACACACGCCAATAAACCCCTTTTCAATATATATATATATATATATATATATATATATATATATATATATATATATATATATATATAAGGGAAAGAAGTGTATACCTAAGGGCTCGTTTTTCCGTGTTTTAACACAATATTAATGAGATCTAAAAGACAGTAATGCCAAGGAATGTACAGGGGAAGTTATTAGAACCAATTGAATGTAAATAAGAAGAAAGAAAAGTGGATGAAAAAAACGGTTGGTTATTTTTTCATCCACTTTTCTTTCTTCTTATTTACATTCAATTGGTTCTAATAACTTCCCCTGTACATTCCTTGGCATTACTGTCTGTTAGATCTCATATATATATATATATATATATATATATATATATATGAGATCTAACAGACAATAATGCCAAGGAAAGTATAGGGGAAGATATTAGACCAAATTGTAATGTAAATGTGAAGAAAAGTGGGTGAAAAGATAACTGATAACTGATAACGGATCCTGCCCCCGGCAAGCTAACTTTTCACCCACTTTTTTCATATTTACATTACAATTTGGTCTAATACCTTCCCCTATTCTTTCCTTGGCATTCTTGTCTGTTAGATCTCATTGATATTGTGTAGTATACACTTATTTCCTTATATATATATATATACATATATATATATATATATATACATATATATATATATATATATATATATATACATATATATATATATATATATATATACATATATATATATATATATATATATATATATATATATATATATATATATATATATATATATATATATATATATATATATATATATATATATATATATTGGGGTGAAATTCAATGGATCCGGTGGAAAATGCGGTAGAAAAAGAGGTCGACAAACGTGCGAAAAAACACTAGTTTTACTAACGTTTCGGCAGGTGGGCCTGCCTTCGTCGGAGTGAATGCTCTCAGGTGGGCCTGCCTTCGTCGGATTCACTCCGACGAAGGCAGGCCCACCTGCCGAAACGTTAGTAAAACTAGTGTTTTTTCGCACGTTTGTCGACCTCTTTTTCTACCGTATATATATATATATATATATATATATATATATATATATATATATATATATATATATATATATATATATATATATATATGTTTCCATCATTGATGAACGAGCCACTGTGCCTCAAACTCGGTTTGGGCTGCAAAGAAGAGAACATTTTCGTTGCTCTGGTTCAGGTGAACTCCTGGCTGTGTCGGCCATGTTGGAGATGGCTACATCTCCCAAAGTAACAAGCAGCCACCGCCTGTGTGGGTTACCCCCTCAATTTGGTCCCTTGGTATCGACACCCAGAAAGTTGGCAACTCCGATGACAAGCCCGGCGGTCTAAACCAGCGATGCCCTTGGCTCTCTTCTCGCACAGGTTTTTCATGCGCCACAGACACCAAAGCCATTCCATGGAGACATCTTCGAGGATGTTGATGACTGGCTCGACCACTTTGATCGGATTGCCAGTATCAACGAATGGGACGATGTTCGCAAGCTGCGCCGGGTTTACTTCTACTTAGGGGATTCTGCGAAGACGTGGTACGAGAACCACGAGGGCTTTTTTGCGACCTGTCTAGCCGACAGCTCCGTGACGCAACACCGAGAGGAAGGAGAGGGCTGAACAAGCCATATCCTGCAGAAACCAGCGCCCAAACGAACGAGTATTTATGTTTGTCGAGGACATTCTTCGGCTCTTCAAGCGCACGGATCCCACCATGCCCGAGGAAAAGAAGTTGCGCCATTTGATGCGCGGAGTAAAAGAACAGCTTTTCGCTGGGCTCGTGCGCACTCCACCGACGACAGTCACCCAGTTCATCAGTGAGGCAACCATGATGGAACGTACGCTGCAGCAGCGGTCGTCACAATACGAACGCCGGATCCCGGTTACCGCATGCTCTATCGGCTCTAACAGCAAGAGACAGGCCCTCGCAGACTTCATTCGAAGTATCGTTCGGGACGGATTGCGACAGCTTCAGGCAGTGGGATCCCATCCACCTGTGTCATCCCTCGCGGATGTAATCAGACAAAAAGTCCAGCAGGCCGTCACACCCCTGTCCCTGATCGCACCACCGATTCCCGAGGCCCCAGTCCTGACATACGCAGCGGCATTGCGGTCCCCTGCACCACCGACTACAGAGCCTGCTATGCGGCCAAGGTACCAGGCTATGCAGCCATTCCACGACACTGCTTCGAGTCCGCCTCTCGGCTCAAGGTTTCCGAGCACACCCACCTATCTGCCATCTGCCTCAAGACAAAGTGGTAGCAAGGCAAGCATGTGGCGCTCCTCGGATAACCGTCCGCTCTGCTATCACTGCGGCGAAGCGGGTCACGTGTACCGGAACTGTCAATATCGGCAACTAGGTCTCCACGGCTTCCACCCTGATGCTCGATGCCCGCGCTACGGTGAACGCCCCCGTGAAATCGAAGCCTATCTCACGGGCCAGCGAGCACATTCGAATGTTCAGCACCACCAGCCGAGATCACCATCGCCTCGCCGGTCTACGTCACCCTGTTTGCCCTCAACGTCTTTCGCTCCTTTGAGGAGCCGGTCACCAAGTCCCCGCAGGTAAAACTAGAAACGGCGACTTCTGGGGGTGAAGTCGTGGCCCGGCGAACTGTAAAAAACCCTCCTTCGACGACGCAACCAGACGAGGACCATTCCGGTTTTGCAGTGTTTTCCGGACAGCAGAAAGATCGTTTCTGCCAAAATCTCCATCTTCGTCGACAACATGCTGTGAACGCCCTCGTCGACACCAGGTGCCGACTATTCCGTAAAGAGCGCCATACTGCTGTCTGAACTAAGGAAGGTTATCACACCATGGCAAGGACCCCAGTTGCGCACGGCAGGTGGCCATCTGGTGGTGCCTACTGGTATAGTGCATGGAACACATTCGAATACGTACGTCGACATTTGCGTCGTCTTTTCTCTTAGTGCGCGTGTGCTCTCGGCCAGTCATTCTAGGAATTGGACATCCTTCGTGAACACGGTGCCGTCATCGACCCCCGTGAATGACTTGTGTCGTTCGAGGATCCTTTTTGCGCTGCAACTGACAGTACTCAATTCCGGAAAAGAGCACTCCGTGTTACCGACGATTCTCTGACTCTCCCACCTCGTAGCAGCCTCTTTGTTAAAGTAAAATTGGGACAGCACGTGTCTGACGCGGTAATTGCAGAGGCCAATTTGTCTCTCCTTGTTTTACGGCTAATATGTGTTGCCCGAGGAATCATTCAGCCTAGCAACAGGCATGTTCACCTCCTGGTTACGACCTTCAGCAACAAATATCGCCACCTAACGAGACACACTGCCATTGTATATTGTGAAGAACTTGCCGATGCCGATAGTTCGTCCACGTTAGCTTCATTTTAATCGAATGGCCACCCTGACGAGGCCTTCTCGAGCACTCTTGACGTAAACGAGAGACTACCTTCGGCTCAACGAAAAAGTCTTTTACGTATACTTGGCTCATTTCAAGACCGATTCGGCACTACGCCAAAGGTTAAACAGACACCACTTGCTCAGCATCGTATCATCACGGAACCCACCGAGAGACCCATCCGACAACATGCCTATAGTGTTTCACAAAAGAGCAGACGCTATACGTTAGACCAAGTCCAGCAGATGCGTCAGGACGAGGTCATCCAGCCAACGACAGTCCGTGGGCTTTGCCAGTTTGCTAGTAAAGAAGAAGGACGGTACGTTGCGTTTTCGCGTTGATTACGTAAACTGAACAATGTCCCAAAAAGGACGTTTATATCCTCTGCCCCGGATAGATGACTCGTTGGACCGTACACGCAACGCGTATTATTTTTTCCTCCATGGATTTGCGTAACGGCTACTGGCGAAATGCCGTGGATGAGCGTGACCGCGAAAAAGACGGCGTTTATTACTCCCGAAGGCCTCTACGAGTTTAAAGTGTTGGCTTATGGTCAATGCTCAGACGCCAGGTACTTTCCAAAGAATGATGGGATATGGTCCTCACGGCGCTCAAATAGCAATCATGTCGTGTTTACCTTGATGACGTGTGGTCTTTGCAGACACGTTTGGAACAACACGTTTGACAACACGTCCACACCTTCAGCAGTTCTTCGGCTCAACGAAAAGTCTTTTACGTATACTCGGCTCATTTCAAGACCGATTCTGCCACTACGCCAAAGGTTAAACAGACACCACTTGCTCAGCATCGTATCATCACGGAACCCACCGAGAGACCCATCCGACAACATGCCTATAGTGTTTCACAAAAAGAGCAAGACGCTATACGTGACCAAGTCCAGCAGATGCGTCAGGACGACGTCATCCAGCCAACGACCAGTCCGTGGGCTTTGCCAGTTGTGCTAGTAAAGAAGAAGGACGGTACGTTGCGTTTTCGCGTTGATTACCGTAAACTGAACAATGTCCCCAAAAAGGACGTTTATCCTCTGCCCCGGATAGATGACTCGTTGGACCGTACACGCAACGCGTATTATTTTTCCTCCATGGATTTGCGTAACGGCTACTAGCGAAATTGCCGTGGATGAGCGTGACCGCGAAAAGACGGCGTTTATTACTCCCGAAGGCCTCTACGAGTTTAAAGTGTTGGCTTATGGTCAATGCTCAGCGCCAGGTACTTTCCAAAGAATGATGGATATGGTCCTCACGGCGCTCAAATAGCAATCATGTCTTGTTTACCTTGATGACGTCGTGGTCTTTGCAGACACGTTTGAACAACACGTCCAACACCTTCAGGCAGTTCTTCAGGCAATCAGAACAGCGGCTCTTTCTCTCAAACCCAAGAAATGTCATTTTGGATATGAAGAACTTAAGTTCCTTGGTCACATTGTGAGCCATGCCCGCATCCACCCAGATCCGGAGAAAACCTGCGCTGTTGCCGCCTTTCCCGTGCCCACAAATAAGCACGACCTACGCCAATTTCTGGGGCTCTGTGCGTATTGCAGGCGCTTTGTCAAAAACTTTTCGAAGGTTGCTGAACCCCTCAAAAAGCTTACAAAAGACGGCGTCTCGTTTGTTTGGTGTCCCGATCAGCGCCATGCGTTCGACACCCTCTGAAACCTCCTCCAGGCTCCGCCTGTACTGGGTCAAAAGCGCCGACACGTAATTACACACTGATGCCAACAACGTTGGACTAGGAGCAGTATTAGTTAAGTGGCATAATGGCGTAGAGCGCGTGACTGTTTATGCGAGCAGAACGTTATCTCCAGTGGAGAAAAACTATTCTGCAACCGAAAAGGAATGCCTCGCTGTTGTCTGGGTCATAACAAAGTTCCGCCCGTACTTGTATGACCGCCCATTCAGGGTAGTTAGCGACCACCAGTCCCTTTGCTGGCTCGCAAATCTCAAAGATCCCTCAGGTTGTCTAGCACAATGGAGCCTTCGGCAACAAGAATTCAATGTCACCATCGTCCACAAATCTGGAAGGAAACACACCGACGCCGACTGTCTCTCACGTGCACCGGTAAAAAATGCCAACACTGACCTTGAAGATGACAACACCTTTCTTTCTGCCGTATCAGCGACCAACTTGGCTGAGCAACAGCGTCATGACTCGGAGCTCATGCCGCTCATCGACTACCTGGAAGGACGCAATTCCCACCCTCCTCGAGCTTTGTACGCTCACTATCCTCCTTTTGTTTCCGTGATTGAGTGCTTTATAAAAAGAACTTTATTTCCTACATAAGCTAAGTATCTGCTTGTTGCGCCAACTACGCATCGTGGTGACATTTTACGTGCGTGTCATGATGAGCCATCGTCCGGATACTTCGGCTACACGCGCACGTTGCAACGAATTCAACGCTCCTACTACTGGCCACGTCACGCAAAGACTGTGAGGCGCTACGTTCGCACATGTCGCGACTGTCAGCGACGTAAGATCCCACTTTTACGATCAGCGGAACAGCTGCAACCAATAGGCCCACCAAAGGCGCCATTTCATCAGATTGGCATGGACTTGCTGGGGTCCATCTCCACGTCTTCATAAAGAAACCGGTGGATTGTGGTCGCTACCGACTACTTAACACGCTACTGTGAAACAAAGGCACTTCCAAAAGCTACTGCAGCAGACGTCACCCAATTTTTCGTTAACAGCATCGTCTTACGTCACGGCGCGCCAGCTGTCGTCATAACTGATCGTGGGACAGCTTTCACTGCAGAGATGCTGTAGAAAGTCTTGCGATTAAGTGGCACGGAACATCGTAAAACAACGGCTTACCACCCACAAGCAAACGGGCTGACTGAACGACTCCTAAAGACAATTGCAGACATGCTGTCAATGTATGTGGACACCGATCACAAGAACTGGGACGCCATACTTCCGTACATAACTTCAGCGTATAACACTGCTGTTC